TGTATCTAAATGGACGTAGCATAGGCATGCATGTTTGAATGTGGGCATACATACAAATATCTAGGGTTGTTCTGGCAATATGATGTCTGCAGTTATCCTTCCAAATGGTGCTTGTTCCAGGAAAAACTAGCTTAAGATAGAGACATGACACGTAAAGCTGCTGCCTACTGTAGCAGTTTAAAATATCAGGTAGATTTTGCCTTTCTTATAGAAAGCTTAAACTCTTGGAGTCAGGTGAATGTCAGCAAATTTCAGCTTCTACAAAAAAAGCCCCTAAAACAAACAAATTAAAACTCTCCACCAAAAAACAAACATAAAACCCCACGAAAAACCCAAAACAAAAAACAAACAGAAAAACAAACAAACAACAAAAAAACCCCCAACCCAATGTATGTGAAACTTTTAAAATGATGAAGAGCTTGACTAGAAAACCCTTATGCTAAAGAAAGAAAGGCAATTAAAGACTTGCAGAAATGTTATGTATGTATATGTCTGTAGCTGTATATGCAGTGTGGCATTGTGCTCCTCCAAAATTATGGTTTGGTTCTGGTTAATCACACACTTTCAGAATTCATCCATTCCTGTTGTAGCACTTGAGTAATTTTAATTTTGTAAGTACAAAACCAGTTACATGGGGAAGACATGGCTGCAGCACTCAGAGGAGAGGTTGTTTTACTCTGCATCTTGCTGTATTTGTTTCATGACTCTTCAGATGGATATAAAATCCATCTAAACCACAGAGAGTGCACTGGGTGATGTGGCATCGCTGAGCTCAGTTAAATAATGAGATGTGTTTCATTCAAATCAGAATAACTCTAAGCCCTGAATACTAAATAGGGCAGCAAAAAGCCTTCAAGCGCACAAAATAAACGAGTAAAAAAACCCAAATGAAACTGTCTAATAAATACAATGTGGAGCAACAGGCTGCATGTGCTGGAGGCATTAAGGCAATCTGAACCGTATGGGCAGCGCTCCGCTGTCAGACGTGCAGCCCCAATGGCAGCTGGATGCACACACAGCCCAGGGCAGGCTCTGCCTCTCAGCACAGCCTGCCTTCCACAGCATAGGTTTGTGACCTCCTAATCCCACAGCATCTACAACAGCGAGAATTCCATCCAGCTTAAAATAGCTGCTGTAGTCGCTGTTGATGCAGGCTCGCTCGTGGGCTCCGGGGCCAAATTTGGTGCTGGCATGATGGGAGGAAGTCTGTTGACAGCTGATAGCAGTGGAGTTGCACTTGATTACATCATAAGAAATTTGGCACGTGGGGCTGAATCAGAAGTCTGAGCAGAAATGTCCTTTCCTCATCCGGAGTTAAAACTGGGACTTTCACATTGCTTGGTCCACAGAGATTTGTCCGGCCCAGATGCAGCTGCTGCTTTTCAGGGTCTTGCTTTAAAAGTGCATTCCGCCAGATCCACTCAGTGTGGTGACTGAAAAAAATCCCTGAAGGACTGGATTTTGTTGTCATGTCCAAAGGGATGAATTCCCTTTCTTCCCCATATCAGCACGATGAGCATAAGCCCCGTGGTAGCTGATGAACTTGCACTGTAAGGCTCGGAGTGCAGCTCTTACTGATGCTCCAAAGCCATTCCTCAAAGTATTTCGAGAAATTAGATTATGTTATGTTAATTTCAGCTGCTGCAAAAATTGCCCAAATACTGTGTTCTTTCTTTTTATTAAAATACTAAGTTGCTGAAGTGATTTCCATGAAAATTAATTAAAACAAATTAATGAAAAGCAGCTGAAAAATTGACTCCTCTACTGAAACTGTGGTATGCAAACTCTTAACCTCAATCACATATTTGTGGTTGCTCTATAAACACCTAAATGTATAGCAGTGATTTGTCATGGTATTTTTTGATGGAAATTCTTAGAAAGTGAGGCTGTACTACATAATACATTTTCTGTCAGTTTACATACAGTTTGATATAATGCATGTGCTTACCTGCTCCATTTAGTAGTATTACTAATCCACAGTTAAATCTTTGCTCTTGAGTATTGGGGGAAAAAATGAAAAAGATGCTGTCAGGCTCAGGGTTTCTCTATCATGTTTGCTGCTTGTGGGGGACAGGAGGGCAGGAAGAACCTTTATTATGGCACTAATACCAGCCTGGGGTATGGACTGTGCACTGCAAAGTGCAGAGGCTGAGGAGGAGCTGTCCTCTCTAAAAACGGGATCCATCTGGGGTCTTTGGATCATCTGGAGGTGTGGTGTTCTGTAAATGGCTCTGGCAGGTGTGCAAAATGTCTGTGCTTACAGCAGTGTACAGAAAGCAGAGCTTAGCCCCTGCTGTGCAGTAAATGTAACACTTGCATTCTAGAACACGTCAATGTTTTAGTTCCCATGTATATTTATTATTATCTTATTTGTGTTTTATGTTCACTTCTCATGCAAAGATGTGGCAGGGGTTTGTTTGCTTTCTCTTTTTTTCTCTGAGAATGTGATGGAGGTCATATTAGTAAAGGTAGAATGTTGTGCACATTAGAGGACAGGTACAGCACGGTCCAGTGAGCCTTATAAAGAATTCTTTACATAGCTTTCAACCTTGAAAGGTCCACTCAGTCTCCCTGGAGAATTGTCAGCAAGCTCTGCCAGCAGGCTGCTCCCTGGAGAGAGGAGCCAAAAGCTTTCATCACTGTCCTTCCCTTGGAAAACGAGCTGCCTGTTTTCTCCAGTGGGTCTCACCCAGCAGAGCATCCAGCCCTTTGGGACAGGAGAGCTCAGTGGAGGCAGCTGGCTTGGGTAGATTTTATTTCCTGTGCTCCCCTTGGGACTGATGTGAAAAGATCCCACGTTTTCTGCCTAGGACACTTTGTGAGGAAGTCCTCCATGAGCTAAACGTTTCAGAGCAGAAGAAAGACCTCCACAGGGAAGTTTTCTACCCACTGACATTTTTATGCCCATAACCATTTTAAACCAAAAACAAAACAAAACAAAACAAAAATTAAAAAATCAAAGAGATTAATGAAACCAAGAAACCAACAGTGATTTCCTCTAAGGAGTGCTAGCAGTTTCAACAATTGCCATTAAGTGCAAGCAGTTCCAGAGATTGTACATGCTGGACCAACTTCATCCTTGCTATAACTCCTCAGAACTTAGTGGAGTTACATGAGGGATTAATTTGGTCCACTGCTTTCAGCCATCAGTTTTAGAGAATATACAACAATCAAGGGAACTGTTATTGTCAATGTTGTTTTATGTCTCTTTAGAGCTGCTCAGTGTTTGTATGTTACAGATACATAAGCAGGGTGAGTGTATGGAGTGAAGTTACAGGTTCAGTGTTGAAGGTAATGGATTTTTCAATTATTTTTGTACCATTAAAAGGAATAAACATTCTAGCAGCCATTATTGTTGTGAGTCTTATATAGATGCTTGAATACAGCTACACAGATTCTTGAAGCATGCACAGAAACATTTCATCTGGCAGACCACAAAATATCTCATGAAGCATAGAAAATATTTGGAAATTTCTAAGTCCTGTTATCACACCAAGTGACTGATGATTACATGTTTGTGTGAATTTAGCTATACTTGCTGCACCAAGGAAGCAAAGCTAACTTATGAGGCAGCCATGAGGGCAGAGACAAAACAGATCTTTAAAGAACTTCTCTGTTTTCTTAGAAATCAAACTGTCTCTGTAATTTTCAGAATAAAACGAAGACAGCATCAGCTGGTAAATCTGAATAGTTGGATAGTGACTCTTGCATCTTCACATAAGTCAGATATTTCAGTACATGTCAGAAGGTGTGCCTGAATCTTTAAGCTGTATGTGGGATTCCTGGATTAAGTTATTTAAGTTTAAACTCTCACTGGAGCAGATGAGCTAACAACCAGTTCTGTTGAAGGTGTGTGCACTGGAAATTGGGTGGTAACATTCCTGGTCATGGATAAGGCAGTGAGCCGCTTCCCTGGTTTGGTAAATCAGCCCTGCACTGATTTCTGGTTCCCAAAGCAAGGTACAAACTTGAGTGATCCCTGCCCTGGTTCTCTCCCTGCTCAGTGCTGGCAGTTTCCACAGCACAGCATTCATTGTGTGTTGGCTGGCTGGTATTCCTTGTCCTCTGTTAGGAATGTTTGGGCAGTGAAGGAAGGGTTTTGTCTTTGCAACCTATTGGAGTTTGGGTCATCCAGAGCAATGAACAAAGTTCTGCCAGGTACAGAGCAAGCGACAGGCTTCCCTTTACACCACTTCTCTGGATCTTTCTGGTCTTCTCAAGAACATTGATTTTTGCAGAATTTGGGGACTTTGGCTGAGTAAGACCTTGTCCATATTTCCTGACAACCGTTGGTATCTCCAAACCGTGGGGTCTGGGATTACTTCCCCATTCCTGTGTCCAGGTTCTTTCTCAACCTGTGTGGACTCCACACTGAGGCAACACTTCAGAGGGTTCATCATCCTACACCGTGCCTTGCTGCTGTGATTTGTGTTGAGGAAAGGCCAAGAGCATGGGCCAGAAGCATCCTGCAGCCTGCTGCAGCTAGGCAGTGCAGACCCATCAGCATGCTGAGAGCAGAGTGTGCTGTGTGCTGCAGCTGCATCCTAGCCCAGGATGGTTCCTCAGCCTGCTCACTCCTGCCTGGGGGCACAGACTCACCCCAGGAGCTAAACCTGCAGCATCTCCAGGGCCATACTGACAGCAATAACCATCAGCTGAAATGATTCATTAGCGTTCAAATGGCAGCACCATTAACATGCAAGCGGGCCTTTTAAGAGTTTGAGGACAGGGGGCCATATCCTGGAAAAGATTTGAGGTAATTGCCTTGGTTCCAGCACCATTATCCATGAAAAATGTACTCATACAAGTAAAGGTTTGTTGGCCGGGCCTCCCATTTTTGTTAGTTTTGCTTTATTGCTGTAATTACACCCAGTGGCTTATCTAATAGAGTCATGTTCTTATAAAGAAATTAAGACAATTAATGCTACTTTTAGTGAGAGTGAAATAGTAAGTAAAATTAAATTGAAATTTGACCAAGCTTTTCTTTTTTTATTTTCTAGTGTCTGAATTACAGGAAGAAGGAATAAATGCCATTAACTTACCTCTCAGTCCCATTCCATTTGAACTAGACCCTGAGGACACTATGCTAGGTAATTCACAACAATTTTACATCTCAACATGAAAGCTTGATATAAAATGAAGTGTTGTGCCTGGGATGGTTTCTAATGTTTTTCTTTTAAAACTTCCAGAGGAGAATGAAGTCCGAACAATGGTGGATCCAAATTCAAGAAATGATCCAAAATTACAAGAACTAATGAAGGTAACGAAAGCATGTAAACCCTCTCAAGAGAGTGGAACTATTTTTAATTCAATCTCTGCCTCTTTCACTTGAACACTTCAAAGCACTGGTTAGATATTAATTAGTTGGAACCACGTGGTTCATGCATCCCAGTGAAATGGGGAGATCATTTGTGGTAGTATCTTTCTCTAGATGTGGCACAACTTAAAAATTTCTACTAAAATCTTGAGTCCAGAGTCTCAGTCCCTCCCACCCCAATCTACAATCACACTGACTTTCCCTTGTCTTTGTGATTCCTGGGGTTAGAAGTCTAGCAGGACACTTCATGAAGATCAACTTCAGCACCTTTGGCTTCACAATGAGATGTTAAAATGCTCCTGAAAGCCAGGGAAAGATTTCACTGCAGAAGACTCTGCATCAGTTAGTGTTTGTGTAGACCTTGTGGTGCACAGCCACCTCAGATGAGTCCTTGCTGAGTCTTTCCTGTTTGCTCCTGAAGATTTGTCAGACTGTATTTTGAGCCACTGCAGCTTTGGTATCCTTTCTGCTAAGAAAAAAAGACATATGTTTTAAATTGCAAATGAATAGTGTATAATACTGCCAAATTTGTGTTTCCCACATAGGTACTAATTGACTGGATTAATGATGTGTTGGTAGGAGAGAGGATTATTGTGAAAGACTTGGCTGAAGACCTATATGATGGACAAGTACTGCAGAAATTATTTGGTAAGAAAAAATACACGTGCACAGCATTGAGGCACTTTGTCAATAAGTGGATCTCTTGTTCCTGCCCAGGAGCCTCAATATCATCTTACATTTGTGCCACTAAGTGATATAAAAATAGCATTGTGTTACAAGAGCCCTGAGCAGTGGGCTGTATGCACAGCCCTCGTGGCTGCAGTGCAATGTGTGGTGCACAAAGCCTACCTGGGGTGCTGCACAGGGAGGGCTCTTGTCTTGGCAGCAGCATTCACTCCAATTAAATTTATTATCTGCATATGGGCTGCACAAACTTCACCATGTTACAAGTGGAAAGTAAGTTTGAAGGCAAGGGCATTCTCAGTACCATGGTGGATGTTTTTAATCTCTGCTCCTTCCGTGCTGTAGTTTATTCACATTGCAAGGTTCCTCTGGAAAGTTGGATTTTCTTTCTGGTTTGATGTCTGGCTTTTAACATGACTGAGGTAATGGTGCCCAGTGGACTGCAAACTGAGCTTCAGCTGAGAAACAGATAGAGAAAAGAAACTGCTAATGCAGAGTTGGCATGTGCTTTTTACACTGTTGGCTTGAAAGCCATTTTCTTAGTTATTACAGCTCATAAAGTCTCCAGTAAATTTCTTTCCAGTATCCTAAATGAATCCTGAAACATCACGTGAGCACTCCTAATAAAGACTTCACAGACTGTTCCCCTCTATGAATGGTTAAGCTATTGAATATATTGTGATGGGCTGGATATGCCCAGACTGAGCAATTGGATTGTCATGGGCAGACCTCCAGTGACTTCACCCAAAATTCAAAAAATGTGTATCAGACACAGCCTGACTCTAAATATGCATATAGTGATCCAGCATTTATTGATTTCTGAGGAATATTTTCCATTACCCTTATGGATCAGGTCTCTGCTTACTAAATCTTCAGTCTTGGGGTGAGACTATGCACAGACAGATTTCTGAGGAGGTGCAAGAAACCTTTGGAGATAGCAGCTCTTAGGCAGAATTAGGAGATAGCTGGATTAGGAGATAGCTGGATTAGGAGATAGCAGTCTCTTATGCTGGATTAGGAGATTGCAGTTTTTAGGCAGGATTAGGACATAGCAGCTCTTAGGCTGGTTTAGGAGATAGCAGAATCTTAGGCTGGTAGTTTAGGCTCACTCCCTTTGGGAAGATGGGAAGATACTCAGTTGGCCTGGATGGGAACAAGATCAGCTCTTACCAAATAAGATATCTCTTAAGAAGATAGTCTTTTGTAGAAGTAAATTGATAAGTGGCCAAGCATTTTGTTTCTGGTGTTGTCACCAGGGAGCTGCTATATTTTCTTTGCTTACTCTTTAAGGGTAAACAATAATCCACGTGTGTATATGCATAGCAATTGTACTAACTGTAACAAACCAATTCATAAAATTAATATTTTAAAATTTACTGCAAATTTTGAGTGCAGAAAATGGCTGTGGTTTCATAGAGAGGAATGGCCTGAGGTTTTATTTGTTTTCATGAAAATTTGTTTGCCTTGCTGTGATGCATCCTCTGCCTCTATGAATACAGAATCACTTCAGTTTTATCACTAATAGGCCAAGTAAAATTTTTATCTCCTGCATCTGAGGTAGAAGCTGGGAGGCTAAGACTGATAAAATAAATCTTAAAGTTGATGTTAAAATCTGTTTCCTAGGTTTGATGGTCTGCTGTACAAGCCACTTGCATGCAGAATAACCTTTATCCAGCAGCAACAGAAGTAATGGGCCTTACCTCCAAGTCTGGTGCTCCCCAAAGGGAGTTGCTGCAAATGTTTGTTAGTCAGTGCTGTGGCATAGAGCAGCACTTGGCCTTCTCCTTGTCAGCGTGTAACTAAAGGCAAAATATGAACTTATCTTTAGGAGCTCAGAAGTGTGGAGGGAAAGAGGCTCTGGAAAAAAAAAAGTTAAATATGAAATTAGGAAGTCTGATGTCTCCTGAATGTATCTCTAGGTGCATGGAATGTTTTTGTGCTCTTCCTGGATCTGACAATTGTTTTTCCTCCATTTTTTCTTCTATCACTTCAGAGAAGCTTGAAAGTGAGAAGCTGAATGTTGCAGAAGTTACTCAGTCTGAAATTGCTCAGAAACAGAAGCTACAGACAGTGCTTGAAAAGATCAATGAAACCCTTAAACTCCCTCAAAGAAACATTAAGTGGAATGTTGACTGTAAGTTTTGTGTTTGCTCTACTGTTATTTGTTGGCAGCTGGGAGTTCATAGGTGTCATCTGGAATTCTGAAATATCCAATGGTAAGGGAGGGCTGAAACTGGGATTTATGGTAGGGACTGCTCTGAAGGGCACTTCCAGATGTGCCACTCTACCCTCTTCACTGGTGCTCAGCCTTCAGGTTCAGTTAGGTGTGTTCTCAGAGTGTGTCCAAGCCTGCCTTTGCTCTGAAGTCCACGTGCATGCCAGCTTAAGTTTCGTGTTGCTAAATTGGTTTGTTGAAACAGGCAAATACCTGCAGAAATGGCAGTAGATAGACGTGAGGAGAGTTAGGTGCTAGAACTCTGTGTGAAATTTGCAACATAGATATGAATAATATTTCTGATGATTTCAGGCTAAGTCTGAACCACTAGCTTTGATTACAAAACTCTCATCAGGACTAGTTCTGCACCCATCCTGTTCTATTATATTAAGAATGAACACAGCAGTGTCTAATAAAAATGCCTTCAGTGGCCCAACACGAGACACTTCAGTGGGTATGTGTTGCAGAAAGTAGTTTATCAGTTTTAGAAAATTAGGCTTCTTAATCTGTTCTGTTTGGTTTTCAGAATCGTGTCATGCTGGTGAATGCCATGACCAGTACATCACATTTCCCCTGTCTCCTGTACCTGTCTGGTGCTGAGCAGTTTTGTATCCTGTTCCATGCACAACAAATTAGTAAGAAGGAGAGCAATATCTCGAGGGAGGAAGAGTGAACATTTGGCAATTTGACTTTCCCCCTTTCTATGGTCCTGCTGTATTTTTCATCCCTTCTTTTTTCAACCTCCCTCAAGTTTTCTTTCCATTCTCTGTTGTGCAGCTGGAGGCGGGGTGTTTGGAGTGGCCTGACAATTTAACTTCTAGTTTTAATTTAATGTTTTACATGTGTTTTAGGGCTGGAGTAGAGTTAGAGAGCAGCAGCTGGGCCCAGCTGTAGCACACACTGGTGGTAGGCAGACAAACATCCTTGTAGTGTTCTGCTAAAGCACCTCATCCCTGAGCACGGGCACTCCAGCAGCATTTGCCAGCAGTGCCACATTTCATATGGATGTGTATCTCCATGGCATAGCTGAGACTTGCTCTGTAAGAGTATGAGGAAGGATATTTTAGTGAATCTGATCATGTTTCAGCAGTGCAGTAATGATTAATGATTAGTTCAAGTACAAAAAAACGAAGTGCACTGCAGTGTCAAAGATCTTTTAGGAATGCTACTCTGGGAAATGCAAAAACAAAGTAGAAGAAGAAGAAAGGTGATAATAAGGATTGGAAATTATCCACATTCATGCCAATGGTTTGATACTTGATCAAGGATTTCATAGAGTTTGGCTTTTGATGTCTTGTAAGTTGTGTTTGTGGTAACTACCCATATATGAAACCTGCTGCAAAAAAGCTTCAAAAACAGAACTAGAACAACTTCATGAGGAATGTTTGAGTCATTGAGTTTAATAAGTTATTGCTTAAGGTTTGTGCCAAAACAGGCTCGTTTATCATCCTGCAGACATTGTGACACTTAAAAATGAATAAGTGCATGTTATGAGTACAAAAATATCTTTCTGATAGTCCATAAATCCTTATTGAAATAAAAGGAATAAAAGAGAGGCAAGGAGAATGCAGAGACAGCACTTAAACTGTGGTACATAAAATCTGGCTTTTGGATTAACTTTAGATTTCCATCTCCACAAGCCTGTGGCATCCAGACACGTTGCAAAGAGTGGCACGCTGGTGCTGATGCATCTTTCAGGAGCCCACTACAGATAGGGTGCCTTAAAGGTGCCCCCTGGCTCCAGGTGGCAGGAGGAAAAGAGTCCCATAATCCCTGCATCCTAAGCAGAAGTGAAAACCTGTGCAGTTTGTAACTTGTGCTTTGAATATGTCTTTCAGCTGTTCACGCTAAAAGCCTCGTAGCCATACTTCATCTTCTGGTTGCCTTATCTCAGTATTTTCGAGCACCAATCCGACTCCCTGACCATGTGTCCATTCAGGTGGTTGTTGTGCAGGTAAGAGGGGCCTTAGACAGCTCTTGGCAGTGTTGTGAAGTTGACTGAGGGGTTTCTTGCCAAAATGCATCTGTGGTTTCTGGCTGGGCATGCGTGTGTCTCTTTGGCTGGCAGGGAACACTCGTGCATCTTCCCTGCTGAACTGCACGAGTGCTTTCCCAGACTGAGCTCTGGCTCACAACATCTTACTTTGACTGTGAAGTGGCCAGACTGTGACATTAAAAATATATGAAATACTATTATTGTTGTGTTTATCACCCAGTATCATCTCTAGAATTATTATTTTCCCCATTTTTTGATGCTCTTCTCACTTGTGTAGAGATTCAAATCATTCTTGGCACTGAATGATGGATTGTCACTGTTTATTACATTCAGATTCCTGTTAGGTGACTAACTATTCTTTTTCAGTCCTGTGCATGCTAATTTAGTCTGATTACAGTGCTGCTTTTCTCAAAAGCATGCAAAAAAATCCCCATCAACTAAACCTTTTGTCAGTCTCCTTATTAGAGCCTCATCCATTCAAACTCTTCATGTTTTTCTGTTCATCATTTTTCTTTCAGCTGAGCTTGTGCTTTCTCTATCTTACTTGGCTTCTTCCCATTTAATCTGCTTTTCTTTCTCTCCATTTAACTTTGCCTTTATTTTTCACACTGCAACTGTCTTTATTTATGTCTTTTAACTGATGTTACCCTGAAGTAACTGATTGAAAGAGCTATTGCTCAAGTTCTGTGAAAATCTGTAAAACAGATCTGAGAAAGTAAACATTCTCTGTTCTAGAATTCAAGTAGGACAAGTTTTGTAACTTAGGGAGAAATCTGAAGGAGAGTCTCTGGTAAATGTGTCACTGATGTCTGGTAGTGACTCATCAACTCAGATTCTGCTTCATGGGTTTCTCTACAGATGATGAAGGAGAATCCCTGAGAATCTGCACTAAGGCTTCAAAGAAACATAGTTCCTTTGGCTATTATAAATGTATTATTTGTACTGGTTTATCTCAAATTTCTGCCAAAACCAGCTGAAGAAATCTGGACTGCAGTGAGCAGGGCATCTTTATGATGGAAAACTAAATGAGAAAAAAAACACCTAAGTCCCAAAAGAAAGAATGAGAACCTCTGCTGTCATTCCATACCTCCAGACAAAATTCCACTTGAAATCAGTGGGCATAGCTGTCCTCTTGTTAAACAGGCTAATGTAGTTCAACAGCAAATCCACTGAAGTCAGTACAGATAAACCAATTTAAAACAATAAGTAGTGGGAGAATCTGGCTCACTCTTAGTTACACAGCTGCAGCTCAGGCGCCAGTGGTTTGCAGGGAAAGCAGTTGCACCAGAATAAAATCCAAGTAATGTTGAAGGAGATTTTGCCCTGCAGAGCCTGACCTTGGTGAAAACCAGTCAGTGGGACTCCAGAGCTCTGCTGATTCCTGTTAACAGAGGGTGGGGGCCAGTACATTTAGTGTAATTGTTTGAGACATTTCTCATTTTTATTTTATGCTGGGTGAGGTTTTATTTTTATTTTTTAAATCTATCTTTCACATCCTATGGGACTGATTCTGTATCATGCATCGTGTACCCTTTGAGCTCACAAGAGTTTTAATCAACCATCAACAGATCCTAACTCCTAATTTAGTGGTCAGGCATGCACACCTCGTGTTCTAAACACTCGTGCATTCTGTAAACAAAGATCGAGCCTAGGGAAGCTTAGCAGACTATGCAGTAGCAGTATGTTTTAAAATTCTGCTGTGTAGGGTTTGATAAGAAGAACAGGAGAGAGACAGAAATGAAAGGACAAAGTACTTTTATGAAGTCTTTTAAGAAAGACTCCTTTAATTAATTTCATGATTTTGTTAGGCATAGAAACACATAAAACGTGAGGGTTGCTGTGTTGGCTGGATGTAGTTCATTGAAATAGAAAAAAAGATATTTGTGAAACAAAAAATGTGCTCATGTCCAACAGGTAATCAGCCTAGCTCTTATGAAAGCTTGTTTCCTTTGGCTGTTTTGTACAAAAGCTGTTAGCAATGAGAGTAATACAAAATCTGGGTTTAAGCTGAACTAGGAAAAAATGTGATAGTTGGACCTTTTGTAGCTACTCTATTATTTTCTTTTCCTGCCATACCAGTAGAATAAATAACATTGAACAAAGCCCAGGCTTTGTTTGATCGTATCTACTGAAATGACTGAGAGCTTTTTTGGAGAGCTGGGTCTTGTCATCATTTTGCCTCTTCTTAAAAATTATGTATTTCTACCATCCACGAATGGTTAGATGACAGATTGTTTGTGTCCAGGAGATGGAAGTCAGGGAGTGTAAGAATGCATTGGCAGAGCAACCAGAATGGCTTCAGCATGTTCTGGGACAGCAGTTCCTGGGTGCATAAACTACTCTTAGGCAAAGCTAGGAAATGACTGAGATTAGATGAGTGTGTAAATCACAACCTTAATCAGAGAGATTTGGTCCCACTACCTGGGAAGGTCCTGGGAAGGAAATGTTTTGGAGCAGCACTGCCTCCAGGTTCCAGTGAAGTCTTCTCTGAACCTTTGACGAATGTGTTTGTTCTTTCAAGCTCCAGAATAATTTTGCATTTCACTTTGTTGGGGCAATTATAAAACACGGTCCTCCAGGTAAAATTAGTTGTAACAAGACACAGGCAAAAAGCCATCCAAATAATGGCAAGATTTTCAGGCTGGGACTTTGTGGGGAAATTAAGCAGTTGGCCCTCAGTTACATAGAAATGCTGACACAAAAGGAGATAAGAAGAGATCTTTTCTATTTCCAGATGTACTACCCCAGTTTCAGATTTTTTTTTGTTCTAGAAGTAGTTGCCAATTTTAAATTGTAAGTGATTAGGAATATCTTCAGGGCCTTCTGTGAAGTCTTTCAGCCATGAGGGAAGAAAATGCCAAGCCTGTTCTAAGACTAAGGTCTTCTGTCATCACTGGAATGCATGTCCAGCTTTTCTTTTTAATGGGGAATCTTAATTCATGCCTCTTTTCTCAGTGTCTGTCAGATAGTTGATGTTGATTTTTATAGTTTGTTGTTTCAATTTTAGCCAGTGTTGCCTTTGGACAGTCTTTCAGTCCTCAGTAGCACCTCTCTGTATTTTTAGGAAATTTGTGTATTCTCTGTCTAGTGTAAGACAAACCTCACAATAGGTGACATCATTCTAAAGGTCAATTTTGAAGTGAAGAGTTTTTAAAGTGCAAGAGATGTATGAGAAGCAGCCTTCAGAGAAGGTGCTCAGAGCAGTGTTTTAAGGCCCATTCTGTTGGGAATTCACCAGCATTTTTGCAAATCAAAAGTACAGGAAGGTCTGTCCTGACATGGTCTGGTCAGGTAAGTGTCCAGGGGATGCAGGTTGTATTAGGGCAGTGTAGAAATCCTATCAGTGTTAGGGGTCAGGTGCCAGACACAAAACAAGAGTTTGGGATCATTTTGGTTTGGGGTTTTTTTTTGTTTGTTTTTGTTATTGTCAACAATAAGATTGAGGTGCAGGTTTCTTTTGATTATAACATATTGTCTACAGTTTATCAAAAGGGAAATATTTGCAATATCAGTACTAGAGTATATTTCAGGCAGTTTTTGTGTGCTTGCAGAGAGAAGGTTTAGAGCATTAGAAACCTTTTTCTGCTCCCATGCTGCCAGTCTGCTCAGTGAAAATAGAGATAGCATTGCTGTGATGCTCAGCCCCTCTAGGAGATCAGAGCAGCAGGGCTCTTGCATAAGGCATCAGTGGCATGTCAGAGTCGTGATGAGGAGGAAATAAAAGTTTTCTTTCACCCTGCAGCAAAGGGAAAAATAAACAAAAATGCCAAACAGAGTGGAATTCCAAGTGGAGCTAGCATGAACTAGATTGTAACTTGAAGTTACTTCAGTTAGTACTGGAGAAGCACTTCCTGCTGTCTGCACAAGCTGAAGTAGAGATTGCACTAAATTATGTCATTTTTCTTCAGACTCTGGAGGTGTGTGACAGACAAAGCCTCTGCAGCTGTGCTGTGCCCCCCTTCCAGTACATAACACCCTGGACTCCTCGCCTTTTTTTTTTTTTTTTTTTTTTTTTTTTTTTTTTTTTTTTTTTTTTTTTTTTTTNTTTTTTTTGTTTTGTTTTGTTTTGTTTTGTTTTGTTTTGTTTTTTGTAAGTCTTTCAAGTGCTCACAGGTCCTCCCTGAATGCATTTTTTACTGTGTGCAAGGTATTTAGAAACAGGACTTTAAAAAATATCATGAAAACCCCCTGAAACTGAAACTAGCTGAAAGGACAGTTCACATTACTCCAAGTGCCAGTCTGGAGTGACTCAGAGGACCAGGTTCAGCTTTTCTTACAAGAAATAAATATATTTCCTGATATATTTTAGTAATGCAGTGTAGAAGGAATAGACAAGCCTGGCTCAGTCCTCAGCACATCTCACACACTCAGGACTGCCTCAGGTAGGGATGTGCTGTCTTCTCCCAGGCAGGGAAAAGCAGCAGCCCCAGTTCACATACCATGAAGGACTTTTCTAAAAGGTTATTCTCCTTTTCTCTTTTCCACCTAGAAGATGGGTCTAGGACCAGCATAAATCTATTTTTCTCATTTCCTTGTGTGACAAGGAGTGAAAGATCATGAGTAATTGTCTAATGTCTAGACTTTAAATGGAGTTGTCAGCATTTGCCTGACTTTTCTCTCTGTACTGCAAATTTTTGGTAATACCAGCGAACCAGAATTGACAGAGAAAACACAAAGAGAGGCAAAACATATGTGTGGTATTTACACCAGCCCCAGATGAGTGTGATCAGCAAACTGAAACAATGTCAGACTCTTCAAGTGCTTCATTTTGCAGCTGACTCAAACTGCAGTGATTGGAGTTGGCTTCTGCCAGGTTGGGCACAGCCTCTGCACAAAGGGACCTCAGCAGCAGCCAGGAAAGGCTTCTCCCATCTGAGGAACATCAGAGTCACTGCTGGAGCAGCATGGCAGTGTCAGTGGAACCTCCACTCTGGATTCTGTCAGAAGCCAATACAGCTCTTTGTCTGCAGAGAGAGGAAACACTGAGAAAAAAAAAATTTAAGAAATTTTTAAAAACCAACAAACAAAAACAAAACAAGCAAAAAAAAATAGCCTGGGAGCAAGATATTTTGCAAAAGAGAAGCATGGGCACCATCTGCCAAGCTGTTCATTGAAATACAGGGCTTAATTCAGCTCACCTAGACATACCTCCACTAAAATACTTACATATGTGTTTGGGTGTTTCAAATGTCTCGCTGAATTGGGGCCTTTAAAAGAAAAGTGAATTAAGAACAATGGAGAAAGGAAAAGAAATACTTCCTTCTACAGGTGGAGTTTCAGGTTTCTTGTTAATGTATAAAAGAGTTCTCTGAAATACTTGCAAGGGTCAAATAATATATTGCTGAAAATTTGTGTACGGAAAGTTCTTATTCTAAAGGTTTCTTATCTAATTATATTTGTGGATCACAAATTTTTACTGTACCCTAAGCATAAAACTTTACTGAGAAAAATGTCCCTTCTTTTCCTTTTTCCAGAAACGAGAAGGAATCCTCCAGTCTCGACAAATCCAAGAGGAAATAACTGGTAACACTGAGTATGTCAACACCACTTTTGCCAGCAGTCCAGTAATTGAACACAGATGCGTCACAGAAATTCAAACATTTGCTGATATTTAGATGTCAGTATTGGGGTTCCAGGGAAGATGATGCATCAGCCAGTGACTGTATTTTAGCCTTTTCAAGAGCTGCAAACAAGCATCTAAAAATACAAAAGGGGGAGGAAATAGAGAGGGGAACTAAAAGCAGGACTTTAGATGTGTAAAATGGTGGGAGTCAGCTTTGTATGTGCCACCTCACTGAACATTTTCTAACAGAAAAGCTATTCCAAACCAAAAGAGAACAGTAGTAGAATATCCTGGTTTCTAACTGAATGGAGAGGAGCTGCACTACTAACTTATTATTAGTCTGTATGGATTTATATGTGATTGCTATATGAAAGATTAACGGGAGTAGAGTCCTGCAGTCCATTAGAACCAGCCCAAGCATTGTTTGGGATTTCTGTTGTGGTTGGTGTGGTAGATGCATCTTCAAAGCAGAGGGGAAAGTTTTCACAAAATCAACACGAAAAAGCCTTCTTTATTCAGGAAAGGTGTGCTGATGTGGTTCAAAGCAGGGAATACGAAATCTGGCCTGCTGTGAGACTTTGGTGAAGCCAAGACATGTTATACTGATGGACTCCAAACTAAGCCAGATCCTCAGCTGGAGTAACGTGGTGAAGTTATTCACAAAATTCTCCTAATTCCATGAATCTACTCCATTATTCACCAAGCTGAAGATCTTACCATGTATGCTGGGGTTTTTTTGCAGCACAATATCTGCAAGTCAATTATATGTAACTTTTTTTCTTCTCCTTTTTTTTTTGTTTTTCCACAGGGCATTGTCAGGAAGGCATGGTAAGTTCATTTGATTATTGTCTCTTTTCTTGAGGCAGCCAGAGTGTACATGAGTTCTGCAGTGGGTGGTCACTTTGATCAAATGTCAAGAAAGGAGAGGATTTCAAGTTGCCCTAGCAAATATGCACCACAGGCTGTTTTGCAATTAACAAAAGGGGGGAAAAAACATGAAAATCACTCTGACCATCTTTAAAACATATTTCATTGCTTTTCAGCACATGTTAATTTGCATGTGCTTTGTGGTTTAACCTCCAGAACATTACTGCAGAGGTATTAATGGTCATGAGCTCCCAGCATAATGTGAAACTGTGTCTTATCATGAACCAGCTGGTGAATGTTGATATTCCACATCCATCACCTACTTATACTTTAAAGATGTGGAGTCATTGTTCAGCAGGCCTGCACACCATGCCTGGTCCTGTGCCTCATGTGTCTCACTGCCAGGACTGAGGATGGCCAACAGCAAACACTCACCTGAGTCTGGCTTGGTGTAAAGTCTGATTTTTACAAATGCCTTTGGATCTACTCTGGCTTTTGGTTTGGTTTGTTTTTTTTTTAACTGAGGAATATGAATGTTTGTTGAGTCATTTGCTGTCATTCAGGTGATTTTTGAAACAGAAATTGCTCAGAAAGGGCTCTGGTGCCTTTTTATATATTCTTCTGTTTTCTTCAGAAGGTGACTGCAGTAGCATTCCAGTCATGCTACCTTAAGTTGATCCTGCTGATAGTGCCCTATATTGCATCTGAGAGTGGCCCAAAACATCTGTACAAAGGATTGTATTGCAGATGTGTGATCATAAACCTGCTTGAGATGCTTAATAATGCAGTCAGTGGCCCTTGGGGCAAATCTTCCTCTGTAGATGTAGTGACCAATGTAAACTCATGTTCTTCTGCAGAAAATTATTTGGTTACTTGACTGTCTGTATCTGGCTGTTTAAGATTTTATGCATAAAGATACTATTCTTTGCTCATTTTTGAGAAACAGGGTTTTTAGGTAATCCAAATCCTACCTGAAAATGATGCTTTTTTGTGAATAATAGAGAATAAATTACTAGCAGCTTGCAGCAAGAGAGGGGTGTGCAAAACTACTTGGTACTTGGAATACAGAGACTATATTGAACCATTTTGCTGACTGTGTTGTCTCAAGTGAATGTGTGTCTCAGGAAGTGTTTATTCTGCACTGGAACAACTGCTGCTCACTATATTAATGGTACTGAATGTTTTTCAGAGAGAGATGCATTCGACACTTTATTTGACCATGCCCCAGACAAGCTCAATGTAGTGAAAAAGGTTGGAATGTTTTTATTTTTAGAATACCTAATGTGTTCATGTGCGTGCCTGTGTGTATCACATGCTGTGGATGTGGTGAGTGTGTGTGGATATAATGCACAACTGGCACGCTTTGCATACATTAAGTACAATTAAGCTTTGTGCTTAAATACACAAAGTCATGATTATAATGTTACTTTTTGTTTCATGTTTAGCAGCATGAACTTAACTTTGGAATACGGAACAACATATAGTTATCAAAAGTTTCCATCAGAAAAGTTCTCACAAAGTGTATGTTGAGTAGAACCCAACTGGTACATTGACTGTACTGATGCCAAGGAGTTATCCAGTTTACAGCTGCCAGAGGTCTAACCCTAGAGTATTTTGGCTGCTGTCAGATTTGAGTGGAGTCCAATTACCCACTTCCCCATAGTCTGCTAAAAATGTGGGGGTTTTCTGTGTTTAAACAGTGTATTTTTGAAATATAAACAGTATATTTTAAAAATTTATATATATATCACATTCATTTTATTTCTGTTCTTCATTCATGTAAAAAATAATTTTAAAACAATTTTTCATGTCACGTTTCAATTTCAAAATTCGGAGATTGTGTTGCAGTCTCTTCACTCATGCAGATTCTCTTCTGAGTGGAGTTCATACTGCTGGTGTTGAACTGCTGCCCTGCTGACTAGGCTTTCATTGCAGTGTTTTCATATTTCAGACTCTCATCACCTTTGTGAACAAGCATCTGAATAAATTGAATTTGGAGGTGACTGAACTGGACACGCAGGTAGAATTTTACAGCCTTTCTTAAAGGGGAGAGGTAGTTGCACTGTGTTATGCACTGTGCCCTCAGCTTTATCCAGAAATTTCACTGAATTATTATTGAACGAGCTCTAAGATGTTATTTCAGCAGGAAATCCTTCCTTTCTAAATATGTTTCTACAAAGAAGACCATCACCAATTAAGTGTCTAAACCAGTTTTGTACTTCCATTAGCATAAAAATCAATTACCAGATGCTACCTTCTGGGTGCTGCCAAGTGCTGTGAGGAGGACCTGCTTGTTTTGGTCAGGAAGGAATTCAGTGTGCTTGGTTTGCTGTAGCTCCAGGCTGGGCAGTTGTTTGCTGCCTGCCTTTGCACGAGCACAGTGCCTCTGTCCAGGGGGAAATTCGGGATTCTTGGGAGCAGAGCTGCTCAAGTGTGCAGGCAGCTGTACAGCTGGGCTGCAGGCTCCATTGCACCACAGCAACAGTGTGCTGCATGCTCTTCTGCCTTGTTCTCAGCTGCTAAATTGGCTGAAAAGAAGCTCAAAGGAAAGATTAATCCTGCTGTATTAATACCTCCCCATGTGAACAACTCAGGCAGTTATCATAAAAAAACTATGGGGTCAGGCAGCAAGGGATGGGATCTGCACTACCAAAAAACCCCAGGTGTCTTCAGGTCAGGCTTTATTTTGTCTTGATTCATGTTATTAAGAATCTCTGCTTTATTTAAACACCTACCAATCTGATAGAGATTTTTCAAAGGCAAAATTAAGATTTAGGTGGAAACGGTGTGTAAAGGCTTTAAAAAGAGCATTCCCAATTTCTGCTCATTGCACTGTTTACTTTGGGGGAAAACATTCAAATGTACCTAGAAACTCCTTAGGCATTGATCTGAACTCCCTAAGAGGAGAGGTTGTATTTCCATCAGTTGAAGGAAAATTACCTGCCTCAGGGTTGCTAACAGACCTGATGCCACTGGGGTAGGGGTGAGAGGCCTGTGACAAAACCACACAAACGTGGAATGGTTTGGGTTGGAAGGGACCTTAAAGATCACCCAGTTCCACCCCTCCTGCAGGAACACATTCCACACACCAGGATGCTCAGAGCCCCATCCAGCCTGGGTCAGTGCCAGGGGTGGGACATCCACTTCTCTGGGCAATCCTGTTCCAATACCCCAATTTCTCACTAGCAGTGAGATATTTTTCAGGAAACATACTGAGAAATGTTTGGGGTTTTTTTTCCACAGTTTGCAGATGGAGTGTACTTAGTCCTGCTAATGGGTCTTCTGGAAGGATATTTTGTTCCCCTGCACAGCTTTTTCTTGACTCCTGATAGTTTTGAACAAAAGGTAACTAGATTTCATTTTTCTGTTAAAAATAAACACGTCTAGTTGTAGAAGGATAACACAAACTTTTCTGCATAAGTTTGATGCTAACAGCTGAAATCAAGAATAGACAGTACTGGTTACCATTTCCAAGTATTTTTAAAAATCAGCATTAATAATTAGCTGGAGTAAAACAGAAAATTGTATTAATGATGAAGTGGTTAGCAAGTATTAACAGATTTTGGCAGCCATTGTGTGGTGCTGTCATTGAATGAGACCTACTGTTCATTAATGTATATAGGATTACCAACAAGCACTGATGACAGAACTGATTTTCTGTGTGTCCAAAATCCAAGAATTTAACGTTGGAAAGCTTTAATGGGTTTTGGAAGCATAAAGGCATATATGTACAATGTGTCAATTTAAGACCAACATTACATCAGTGTCTGTAGCTATCCAGGCAATTCATCTGTCTGTTCAAGACAAGAGCACTTCAGGGGCCATCATGTTCCAATTTTTGAACTTGTAGGAGGAGGGCTGAGCTTACTTGTAAGTCATTTTATTAAGGGTTATGTTAGTTCATGTTAACTTTCAATTACCTCTATCTTTCTGCAACTCCCATCGCCCAGAAACAGCAAAACAATGGATTGTCTGGATTCCAAAGACCAGATATACAGAGCCCTGACTATTTTTTCCTTCTGAATATCTGGGTCTGCAACTTTAAATATATCTTGTCTTGACCGTTTGCTCTGTACAGAGTTCACAAGGGTGAACAAAAAACACCAAACTGCCTTTGTTGCATTGCCAGGTCGTCAATGTGTCCTTTGCATTTGAGCTCATGCAGGATGGTGGATTGGAAAAACCAAAGCCAAGACCAGAAGGTACCTATTCTACCTTTTTGTATCTCCTTAAAAATCTGTGTTGGATCCAGGTCTTGCAAGGTTATGGTGTGGCTAAATGAAAGTTAAGTTAATGCAGCAGCAACAAGCAAGGTATATTTTGTAGTGCTCAAGAACAATGAATTTTAAATGCACTTTTTAAAATGTTGCAGTATATCCTTTCTTCATTGGCCAAACATAAGCAGTAATACTCCAATATTCCCTGAAAGAAAAGGAACACAGTTGTGGTTGGTGTCACTGACAGATGTCAATTGCTCCATTTTCCTCCATCTCACATTCTCACACTAAACCTTGAGTATTCCAGTAATTTATAAGATTTTCACAAAAGAGGGAGATGTTGTGGAAGGAGAATTTCACATATTCACATAGATGCCTTTGAATGCAGGACCTAATCGTGCATATTTAAATTAGATGTGGATCTGGGCTCTAACAGAAGAATGTGCTTCAGGGAGGATAAAGGTTCTGCTGCTGACTTGAGGAGCATTGGGGTTCCACTCCTCTTTGTTCATATGCATACAGTGTTTAAATCCAGCTTTTCAGGCTGGAGACAGAGCCCTTGATGCACCAGGTTAGTGGGTATTTCTTGTAGCTCCTCCTGTGAGAAGTTACCACTTCTTACCATGCAGGAGCTGGGCATGCAGCTCCCACCAGGAATGGTCTCTGGGCTCCTGCAGGTTCCCTGCCATAATAACCAACGTGGCTGTGTCTTTTCAAGACCAATTTCAGACTTACATTCTATGATGCTCACAGTCTTTTCCTGCCACAACATTGGATTGTCATTCCCTGAGGAGTTGACATAAGCTAATGTCAGTGTTCTAACAGTCAGGACTCCCTGGAGATTCAGGCACTCGTTGCTGAATCAGGTTCTGCTCCATTCAGGATTTCTTCCATCCCTCCCAATTTCCAGGTTATAACAGCCACAGAGACATGCACACACACAAAATAATGCATCTCAGCATCAAGCCTGTGCATTAAATCTGGACCTACCCAGCCTGGCTTTTTTTCACTTCTTTTGGTTGCTTGAACTCTTATCCACAGTCACGCTTAGCTAAACCACTGGTGAGTGCATCACAAACCTTTACATCTGAAATAGTCAAAGTGAGAAGGGGAAACAGTGAAATCGAGGGATCCAAGTAAAACACAGAGTATCTGTGATCCCTTACTCCCCATGGAGGCTTAAAATTCTTATGGCATTTAATTTTTCAGGTATTTATTGCTCTAGGGGACAGCTAATTTTTCCAGTATAAATCAAGCCATAAGGATATTTCAGCATATATAAGACATTTCTTGTGCAATTATTGAAATGCTTAATATGAAACTTCCTGCCCAATGTGAATGGAAAAACACATCTGTTTTATGTGTTGTTACATTGGGCACAATGCCCGTACTTAAAATTTCCAGTGAGCAAAAGAGTATTGAAAAGGATCTTACCCTAAATGTGTACACTAAATACTCTTTGAATTCCTACACTGTTTCTTTGAGGTTCTCGAGGAAAAAATATGCTGAAAAGTGCTTTAGAATATGAAAAACATATTTAGTGGGGAAAAAAAAAAAAGAATGCAGTTAAATAAATGAGTATGAAAACCAATGATTTTTATGGGGTCAACAGTTTATTTGGGTTATTTGCAATATAATTGAAAAGGTCATAAAAAGCTTTCTGTGACCTTTAAAAATGGCCGGAACATTAATCTGCTGAGTCTATAACGAATTCATTTGCAGTTTGAGCTTTTTCAGATTACTCCTTGCAATGTGTACATCAAAGCCAAACTCAAGTTTCTCTTTTAGAAATTTGCAAGCAGTAAAGTGTTACATGTGTTGGTGAAACCCATGTAGCAATGGAAATAACCCATCTTTCTCTGGGAGTGTGCTACTTTTACTTTGAGCCCTTCTGTGGAATTCTGTTGTAGTGGTGGCATCTTCTTTTTGTGGTGGTGTCTTTGCAAAGACCTAACAAAGTAACTTTTTGATAGTTCTGTATTTGGAAAAAAGTAGTTCTGCACCTTCTGCTGGCCTGAAAGAGGAAACTTCCAGTGTTACATGCAAACAGTATTGCAGATTGCAGTGGGATTCGTGGGGGCAATGGACCCTTCCTGCAGCTTTTGGCATTTCCTCTTCATTTTATACCAAGCATTTTTCATCTGATTTATAAAGAGCCACAAACCCATGCTGGCTCTGGTTACATGACTGTGCACAGGCCCAGCATAAAATCTAGGCTTGAGTGTTTCCACCCTTTGTCCAAGGATGTAAATTCAGTATCTTTAGCTGGCATACTTTAGGACACCGTGCATAGCTTTGATTGGATTAATTATTCAAAGTGTGACCACAACCTATGAGAAACATCAATATAGATAAATATAATGGCTAAACTCTGATGATTACAATAAACCATTTACTGGGCTTACTTGGAGGTTTTGGCCAATTCCAGGAGCCTCAGTTAGGAATTTGAGTTCCTGTGCATTCATTCAACAGAAAGAGACAGGACAATTCTAATTCCACTCTGCTCTTTCTGAGGGCAATCCTGAATCCCTGTTTGAGATTGACTAAAGCACTAGTGTAGACTGCTGCAGTAGTACTTGTCAGTTTGTTTTATAGATTTCTTGTGAAATAATATTGACTTTCTCAAGAACTGCTCTTTGAAACAGAAGGTATTCATTAGCTTTTTGTTTCATATAAATCCTTTACTTTAGATGTTGAGTTTCTGAGGACTGATTCAGCCATGAATGTCAGCTAACTCAAAGAATTTTCAGATGTTTGTTCAAGCAGCACTTGTATACCTAGCTTCTTTAGATCCTCTGGAAAATTCCAACTTGCCCCTAGCTATCTTGCTGAAATGAGGCCTAGTGTAAAGGATGCTGCAGCCCAGAATATGCCAAGTCCTACAATTCTTACATAAGAGGAAGGTTCCACTGGTTACTGCCTCATGACTTTTTTTCCAAATCATTCCTTTTCAGCCACTGAAAGTCTAAAGTCATACAAGAATGTGTAATCCTGGGCACACTTGGACTCAGGAGCATCTGAGCTTGGTTACATTTCAGCATCAGCAGCTGTAGCTATTTCTATCCCTTACTAGAAGTGGTTAAAGCACCACTTTAGTTTTGAGTTGCCAGTTTGAAAATTGTGTTTTATCAATATTTCTACTCTTTTTTTGCTATCCTTGTGATCTAATGTTCACGGGTATTAATGTGAGCAAGGGAAAGGAGTAGAGAATGGGCACTGTTTTTTTCTGGAAAACATTTGGAGCTAATGAAGTTACTAATTTGTTTTCCCTTGTCTTTTTTCTAGATATTGTAAATTGTGACTTGAAGTCTACACTGAGAGTACTGTACAATTTGTTTTCCAAATACAGGAACGTGGAGTGAAGAATTGATTTAGGTCACAAAGGAGTGTTAACAAAGAAAACATCATAACTAGCATTTCTTTCATCAGTATTCCTCTGCATATCTATCCTAAAAGGAACTAAACCATTTACCTGAAGAATTTTTCATTATTAGTGGATTATTCTGGCACTACTATTTTCATAGCAGATTTAAAACTAATATAACTTACAGAGAGAAAAGGGTTTGGGGGAAGGTATCTGGGTGTATTCTGGGGGAATTCATGTCTCACTTGTCTTCATACTGTTTTTAATAGGTGAAGTAACAATGAAAAAAGAATTTAGTAAGCTTAATTCAAATCAGCCTTTGGGGCCAATCATAGGAATATTCTGTACTGAGTACTATGTTTTACAAATATCTTTTTTAATCTGGGAAGGGGAAGAATATTCTATCCATGATAAGACAGGTTCCATTCTAATTGTGAGGAATGTGCATGGGGACAAACGGTTAAATACACTTGTTCACATGACAGCTAAAAAGAAGCAGCTTAACCTGGTGAATGTATAGTTCCAGTGCTATCATTAGGCTTTATTTGTATGGGTACAAAATGAAGTGGCTACTCATTCCTTCAGCCTTGCTATAATGTGATACTCTGCATCAGTGTGTGCTGCTGAGCATTCCACAGAGCAACACTTTGCTGCTTGTCACTTTTTTTGTTCAAGGCAGAGATCTTTTTTTGCAAAGAACACTTTTCAGGAAGACATATCTGTATAATACAGCTTTTCTATAATATTTTTATTATTACATAATATTAGAAAGTAGAAGAATGGCTTGTTTTTATTTTGGCAGTTTAATCACAAGATTATCAGATTGTGAGCTTAGATCGATTGATAGATAGAATTTATAATTGTCCCTTTGGTTGATTTTATGATGAATGTGTGATGCTGCATAATGTTCAACACAAAAAAAATAAGATTAGTTTTCTAGAAATGGTCAAAACTACTTCCATCTGCAAAGATTCCATTACAGTGTGAAGTTCTCTCGTGATTTTACACGGCTACAAAGTTGTTTTTATTTAATTACCACCGATTATAAGCTGTTACCTGTTTGGTTTTAGCTTTAACCAAGACACAGAAGGGAAATGGGAGTTGATTGTTCCTTTAGACTGGTACCAAGCACCAGTTGTGCTTCCAGGGGAAGCTGGTGGAGACTGCCTGGATCACTTCTGAATCAAAATGTTGTATTGCAACCTCACATTCCTGGGATCCTGGCTCACAAAATCGGGAAAAAAAAATCCCCAGGCTGGAATTCCCAGGTAACTCTTCAGAAATCTTCAGAGACTCGTTAAAGCCATGCAGGTGTGGCAGAAGTGCTCAGGGCAGAGGAAAAGTGATCTGTCAATTCTTGCATCGTTGTCAGGAGAAAGGCAGGGCTGGCAGGGACTGCCCATAACAGCTGGACATTCCTCACCATGTCAAGCATTGCACAGCTCTCCTTTTCCCAGGGCTTCTTCCTTTTTTTCTTTTATGTAGAGCTTTCCAGTACAACATTAGCACAGAGGGAACTCCAGCAATTATTTCCTGTTTTTGCTAAACACCAGCTGATGTTTAGTAGTAAGATGTAAGGTGATACTGACTTCTGCTGGGGGGGAGAAATTATTTTTCTGGGAAATAATATGAACTTTTTCAAGGGAAGGTCAGTGTTCAATTCAAAGGACACTACCTGAATGTTGTCTGATCTCAGAAATTATCTGATTGTAGTAAGCACTCTAAATATCTTTACTAAAATATTTTCTTACCTGTGTGTTTTTAACTGAGTTTCTGAAATTAGAGGTACACAGAGCAGCACTTATTTGCCCTTTACAGGCAGAAGTAGCTGGACATTTTGACCTCAATAAAAATGAACGTTTTCCTTATATCTTTAATATCTGAGAAGCTACACAATAGGAATTAACCAAACATTTTTTGAGCAAACTGAGGCAGAACTTCTCATGTATATATCAGCAGCAATTTCAGCTTCTTTAGATGTTTAACGTGCAAGTTTTTAATTTGCACACCTAGTGTAGTAATTCTAATAGCTAATTAAGAAATGAATTCTCTTTTTTTCTGCAGACCATACTCAGCCACAACACTTTTACATTTCAACAGTACTGAAAGATTTTGATTGCCTTTGTTTTCAGGAGTGCACTTTCTTTAAAGAGGAGATTTATATGTGTAAAGTGAACAGTAAAACTGTTTTCTTTGCCCGGACTTGCAAATAAGTATTTCTTGTGCTGTATTGTTATAATACTGTTGGAGATTTATCTGTCAGACTTCATTTCCATCCTTATTAAACTGAGACAGAATTATTAAATCCTCATGCTGAAATGCAATTATGCAGAACCATAGAAACACTTAAACAATATCCGACCTTTCCACAATTATCTATCCTATGGTAAGAATTTTTGTAAATTAAAATCTGCTATATAAACAACAGTATCTTATGTAAATATTGATCCATGTGATAGTTTTAACACTTAAACACAAATAGTATATGCTGCCATGTAGGAGTGGGTCACTGCTTATATTTTTAACAGTGTAGATTTAAATAGCTATCAGATAAATACGAAATTTAATATAGATATTATATCTTAATATTTATTGCTTTGATTCAGAATACTAGAGAAATATATAACACCACTGTAGACAGCTTGCTTTTCAGCAGTTGGTGTAGGCCAGCCCTTTCCTTCAGGGAAGGGAAAAGTTACCTGGGCCAAATTCTGCCACACCTGTGTTTTTTCTATTCTTGATACACAGCAGTGCACCCTGAGGTACTGCTGAGAGCAGAGTTCTCCCCACTGTTTATTTCAGGACAGAAGTTGTTTAAATGCTAGTCAATCTCAGGTTTATTTATAAGTACTTTACATGATGAAGTGGACCCAAATGCATTGATTTGGCTGGTGTAAGACATGAGCTCCTCCAGGAGAGAGCCTGTGGTCTCCAGGCTGCTGGGATCCTAAATCCAGGTAGGATAAGTCCAAGGCACTGCCTGAGGATCTCCTGGAGCCCAGTGTGCCTGTCTGCTGTGCTGTGCCACACAGAGGCAGCTGAGCCACCAAAAAGTGGCCAATTCTTGGTCTGCCTTGAGTAACAAACGTTGCTGCTGTGGGACGTGTGAAGCCACCAAAAGAGGCATTTTCTGTGACTTCTGATTCCTCCATTGCATCCAGCAATATGGTACCTAGGTTTATTTTGTGGCTGGAGATGGGCATCCTTTCCCTCTGATGGATCCTGGCATGCTCTCTCCACCACACAAAACTTATTGTTTGGGTTTCTTTTAAAGAGGAACTACAGATTTTTCACAGTGTGTCAATAAGGTATAGCCAAAATAATTACCTAAAATCCTAATATCTTGAGGCCTGCTCCTTTCAGATTTCTTTCTCAGCTGACTGGCTGTTATTTGCCATAAAGAACGAGTCCTCTAAAAAGGAACCTTTGCATTATTTTACCCAAGACACGCTCGTAAAGCCCAGAATTGGATTGCTCTGTATTTCTGAACCAAGTTTCCTATTGAATGAGCTGACTGCAGAATATCCAGTTCTTTCCATTTCCTAGTCAGGAGTATCTCCATGTTACAGAGGGCAGCAGCCCCTGCAGCTCCACAGCTCAGGAATTCAAGTGGAGCAGCAGGAGCTGGATGAGGTCCTAACGTGCTCCAGTGAATTGTGGAGCCAGTGGCAGGAAATCACCAGAGCCTCTGTTCTGCAGAGGGGTGCAGTGCTGGGGAGGGGCTGCATTCAAGCAGACCGTGGTGATTGAGCTAAATGCCACTTGGTTCACTTTTGCTCTTGCTTTTTATTCTGGAAGTACAGTTTTCACTTTATTTTAGCAGACACCTCACTGCAAGCCACGGTGTTGTAAAGCAGAATGGCTTTTAGAAGTTTGTTTCATTAGGGAAAGATATGTGTGATATTTGATATACTAGGTGCCAGCCTTAGGTCTAGTTTTTGTTGTTCTTGTCTTCCTCTCAAAACAACCTTCATGAATGGCCAAGCATCTAAAGAGAAAACAGTGCCTTGAAGACCTCTTGCAAGATTTTTACACTGTTACCTACCAGACTTCTGTCATTTTATTGTAAGAATCAGTGTGGGCTTTCTCTTTACAGTCAAAGTACAATTACAGACTGAAGAAATCCTTTGTAAAAAGTTACAATTAGTTTGCATTAAGATTTTTTATTTTGATTTGTCACATGAAAAATGGAGATAACATCACCAAAATTTTTTAATTAGGCATACCTCAGTATCCACAAATTTTCCAAAGAGGATTTGAGTCATTCAGGATTTACAAGGGCTAATTTTGTGTAGTCTAAAAATATTTTGTGTGAATTTCTTTCTGCAGTAATGATATTCTCTTATCTGTCTAACAATTTAATACCATGCACTCTGCAACAATGCTAGTCATTGAAACATTTGGTCCTCAGTTTCAGTATCAAAGTTAACTGAGACAAAAGAAAAGAACAAAATAAAATTTGCTAAACATGTATCCGAAAATAATTATTCAAGTTAAGCTGCATTGCCTTCAACTGCAGAGTTAGTAGCTTTCACAGAATATATGTACTCTGTAAGTAAAAGACACGCTCGTGCTGGTTTTTTTTTTCCTGTGCTTTTTCTGAAACCTTTTGTTACGATTCACAATAAAATTTGCACCTGAAAATGAACACTGCATGTTGTTGTTGGGTGGAAGGGTGAGTTGTGTGACAGAAAATTCGGGAAGCTGTGTGTTTTGTGTTCTCAAAACTTCCAGACCTCTCGCTGCACCCAGCCCTTTTCCAGTAACCCCTTTGTGGGTGTGCAAGGTGTTTATTATTATGTTCTGTGGGGGCTGGTGACAGCTGAACGTGGGTTGGCAAAAGCAGTCTTGTAAACATGTGTTTGAAATGATTAACAGCAGCAGGTCAGGAAAATGCTGTCTTTGACTCCAAGTAGCAAAGTACACCTTTCCTTTGGACATTGCTGAGCACTTCAGTGGGGATATCCCAGCTGGATTAATGCAATTCTCTGCAGAGCAGTTTTATTAATTTCAAATCTTACAGAATGTTAGCAAAACATTCAAACTGAAATTATATTGTCCATGTCAGAAAATAATTGCATTTAGGAAGATTTTGAGATCTGGTTTTTAATAAACTTGTTTGTGTTGCGACCCTTGAATGCAGGAGCTTCAATGCAGAGCTTGGAACCAGTCCAAAATATAGGCATCTAAAGTGCTCCAGATCAACATTTATAGCCACTGAATTACTGGCCTGAATCCAGAAGCAGGTGTTTGATCTTAAGGTCTGCCTGTAAAGCTGAAACCACCAGGCAGAGCTGCCTAATCAACAGGGAGCACTAAAGACTGGGTGAGTTTTAATGCCAATCTCCATTCCCAGTCTGTTACTCAGGGCTGGATAGAAGCACTTCTGCCTGCTTAGGATCCACATTCTTAACCTCCTCCATATGCACTTGAAGCTTTTGTCCTGCATTTTCTGTTTGTTTGTCCTGAGGAGCAAGGAGCCTTGCTCTTCTTCGAGCATTGCAGTACAACACAAGGTCATGGTCTGGCTGCCTCAATCTTCTCAGTGCTGTTCACACAAAGGTCTGGGTTTAGTACCCTTCTGTAGCCATGGGAGTAATTCCTCCTCCTTCTTAGAATCCTGCAGGATGAAATGAAGCTGAAACTGTTTTTACTGTTGTTGGAGGGGCACTGCTGATGCCTAAGCTGAAGTTGCAACTCATTGTGCAGAGTGACTCCACGTTAACTGAGACAGAAGGAGAGCAGAGGAGGGAGTGTACCTGGTGATAAAGCTGCTGAAAAGGTGGAAAAGGTTTTTGGGGAAAAACCCGTCTTGTAGGCCTCTTGTAAGGCCTGCTTCTGTATTTCAGTCAATGAAAAGATGTTAAAATTCCCAAACATATTCTGAAGAGAAAACAGCCTGGTGTTATCTACCTCTGTTTCAGTGTGAAGTCCCTGCTGAACTTTTTTACTTTCACTCCTCTCTGCCAGGATTCTGCATCATATATATGCAATGATACACTGAATACATGAATGATGGTGTCCTTGTCTTGAAAGGCTTGCAGTCCTGCAGGAGTGCAGGTGAAGAGCTGTGAACTTCTCTGTCCCACCACAGAACAAGAGGTGTGGATTGGGAGCTGTGGACTTCTCTACCTCACAATAGAACAATAAGTGTGGATTAGGGAGTGAGTGCCCCTTTCTGGACCTTTCTGCCCTGAAGTTGTGGGGTAAAACCAGGAGCTCCAAAGTGCCCAGTGAGGCTGGTGTGGGTGCCAGTCCCAGGGACAAAGGGACCAGAGGAGGTAAGAAGGCTTTTAGGTGGGAGGATTTCTCCATTTCTGTGTAGAGCTGTGGGTGCTCAGCACTGGCAGCGAGGTGAGTGTGTGGATTTGCCAGGTGGCTTGGGAGGAATCCTTGCCCTGGAGGTGCTGCAGGGCCATCAGCCTGGGGGAATATTGGAATATTACCAGCATTACAGGCTGCTTGCATGTGGCTGAGACTCTGCTCTCTGTGACAGTCACTTAAACACTTCCATGTGCATGTCGTTGCACTAACAGAGCTTTGAAGGCATCAGTCCTGCATTTCTGAGCCTTCTGTACCTCCAGATCCTTCTGAACTGTTTGTTACAGCACTTGAATAGACAGAAAGGACATCATTAGAGCAGGTCTGTGTTCTCAATGGCATAAAAACCTCGTACAAGCTCTCACTCCAAACAGTCATAACCTCCAGCTTCATTTTTTTCTGTTATCAGGACAAATTAACCCATTAGCTGCACAGACTCTATTGTGAGTCAGAGGTATATGACTCATGTGAATAGAACCCATTTCTATTCTGGTTTTAATTAACTTGGCCTCCACCCAAATCCTCCTTAGAAATGAAAGATACTAGATTAGCTGAAGTGTACAACACATTTTTATAGTTTGTGCTAAACTTACATGTTTTTTTTAATGAGATAATAGTACAAAAAAAAAAGATTCCTATGAATGCACTAGCCTGAAAGGTAAGTGACAGAACAGCTGTATTTGACAGACTTTTAAAGTATTGTAATTAATCAGGTTGGTTTGTTTGCCTTGCAAACTGTACGAACAGTAACAGAAAAAAAAAAGTTCAGAATTCTAAGTACATTGGGAAAATATTCCTAGTCTTGATTCAGATAAATGGAAAACGAATTTGTGGTGGTTAACATTTCAGTAGAAGTACAGTCTTAAGGTGGCATTTCCCATTGTGATTTTCATAATTTTGTTGACTGAGAATTTTTCCTTCCTTCCTTCCTTCC